GAAATATTCAATTATAATTATTAGTCGTCAGTTTTTGAAAGCTTAGGTTTCATAAACATCCGTTGCGATCCAAATATGATTAACTTGGGGCTGAGTAATTGGTTTTAACACCACTGTTAAGAAAGGTAGTTTTTTGTAGCAAGTTAGTAATGTCAGTTAATAAAATCTCACATCTTATAATAGAATGCTTTCCCAAAGTAAATGTTGGAAGTAAATAGAATAAGTATAATGGATTGAAAGTGATGTACGCTAGGGTTTTTATTTCAAAAGGAGAATAAAACCGCTTTATATACTTCATTAATCAAAGAAACTAAATAAATACAGATTTTTCAGCGTTCCAGGTATCCTGATTACGATACAAAGATAGTGCTTGAAGAATAAGCATACGAGAAGCTTACCTTACAGGCGATGATGTCACTAGATCCCCAATAGAACGTTAACACAAAGCTTTGACACTTCGGCAACACAGCTTCTTTACACCAGAGAAGAACTACCAATGATTGACCTATATAAATGGGAGTATTATATGATAGTACGAATCGGAAAACTAAGGACGGTGAAGAATAATGCTTCAGACAAAAATCAAACCTGAAAAAAGAAATACATGCATTGACTCATACTCTTTAAGGCTCCTTAATTACCAGATTGCACGGCTTTGGTTTATTCCTTTAAGCAGAATTTAAAGCAATTATTATTAGTAGACTGTCAGTATTAATACCTCTAATCGTCACCATTTAAAACAAATAACCCTACATTAATCCCCTATTCACCTTACTTGTGACTTGAGGTATCCGCTGAAATGACAGAAAGTATCAAGGCATTCTGAAGCCGTGTGGACAGATGATTACTTTGAAAGGACGATTACTACGTAGTCAATGTAAATCAAGATGCCAGACTCACACTGTCCAAAACATTTTCGACCAACGAAAGTAGTGGATGCAATAATACAGAGGCAAATATTTACGCAGCCCAAAGAAATTATCGAATACGAAGCCATATACGTTATAAACCACGGCTATGGAGAATAAACCTAACATGTTGCATGTCATAAACACAGAGTAACTGATATCCAGAAATTTAGATACCACAGCCACTTATAGGCTTAGAAGCAGTCATATTCCATGCACGATTGTCTCTCTTAACAATGTGTGAAACCAGAAAACTTTCGAGACGGATATCGTGGCTACCAATTATGGTGTGAGGCATATGAACGTACACAGGTAATCGTTTTTGCAGTTATGAATGATTAAAAGTAGCTATTTTACAATCACACACGGAAGTTAATTAGAAAAATTTTAAAATATTACTGTACTTTGAAGAGTAGTATGTAATAGATTTAGATTCTTTTATCATATAGTTAGCCAGATCTTAAAATTCAAGATTACATATGACAACAGAGTGATTAGAAAGCACTCGTAGTGAATCAAGATTTTCCTATTCATGGGAAAAATAAAGGAATATGTCAAATGAACCAGTCATAAGCTAAACCTACACCTTTAGATAATAATACCAATAAGACCAGAATGCTAAGTTCATCCAAGAAGTGAAAGAGTAACACTCAGGTACTTATGTAAATCCTGGCTGATTAAAAAAAACGTTTAAACTAGTTAGTTGTTCTTTCATCAACTATTACAAAGTGGAAGTTTTGTGGTACCACACAGAGGACGGGACTGCGTTATACAAAGTATTTGGAGTGCTCGTGACAAGAAAATTGAATCCTCAGACAGTGAAACTCAAACTGCAGTGGTCACGAGATTAGTTACAGTGTGAAGGGCTTATTAATAGTAATCTAAACAACAGATGAACTAATGTCACTGTCATTTAAAAGTGGGAATAATTATATAAAATGGCACTTTTGGCTCACGCCTTCGCAGAATAACTTCTGTGAAATGGAGAGTTTTGATAGCTACTGGTTTTTTGTTGATGTCATTTACGAGAGGTTAGTTCGATCTGTGGTTAACATGACTTGGGTAATATCGATAGTAAATAATAGGTAATTAACGATGGCGAGGTCGGTTTGTCCGTGAAAACACTCCTAAGCATGCCTTCGTCAGAATTCAGCCATGATACTACAATAGGATCACTGAATATTATTCCGTTGTTAATTTGCAGGTGCTGTTGATTTATAATTTTTTAATAGGGAATGACGTGTTGTTTAACAGTCAGTTAGCCACGTTCATACTTTAGAAATCACAAGGCTTGAGTGTGTCCAAATCTTATCTAATATTGAGTTTTTACATTTTGTTTGCACTTGTTTGGCAAAGCGCTTTTCGTGGTTTGATATGCATTCTTTGTAATGTCAACATGATAGTGACTCATCCGTCATAATATGCCACCAATATACCTGCGTCTTCACGACGAAGTAATAATCTGAGTGATATATGATGAAGGTCAGTAATATAAGAGTACAAAAACTTGAGACAAGAAACCCGGTATTTACGACATTCAAATAGAATATCATCAGTTCAGTGATAATAAGTAGAAAAAATCAATGCGGAATATATATTCAAATTAATGACTTGTTTTTGCTATAAAAAGGTTGCTTAATTTTATCAGGACTATGTATATCACGACCTGAGACTTACAAGGGTTCCGGAAATTGTTTTCTCGCGGGCGATAACAGAAATAGGTGATATTCTTGTAAAAAACTGACAAAATGTCTCTTTAAAATACAAATGTCACGGGACTATCAATACACATGATCTGTGTAATTCGAGGAAACGTATTCCACAACATCCTTGACGCTTGACAAGAGCGCCAGACGAGTGTTAGTATAGATTGATGAATGTAAAGGTATTGCTATTACATCCAAGATCCAATGCTTCACGCACTACTTTCAATGGATTGATTCTTTTTCGTTTACTTCTTTTTGTTTAGGTTCGGTATATAGTGTTGTTCAGTAGGTGACAATGTGGTAACACGACCACTAAGTCTACTCAGTTTGCCAATTATTTTTAGATTTGTATGTCTTGTAATTCGAGTGAATGGGTTTGTGTCTGCGCACTTGGGGTTATGGATACCAGAGTATATCACATTATGAAGATCCAATCAGTTCGCTGCAATGTGTACAATAATAAACAAAAAAATTTAATGCCGAGAAGACGAAAGTTTCATAAATAAAATAAATCAATTATTTAGTCTCTAGTGCTGAGTATGAGGTGACACAAGTGTAAGGATAAAGAAGAAATCATAGCAATAGGCACTATAGAATTATATGGTTCTATGGGATAGCGATAATGATAACAACAGACTAGTTGGGCAACAATAAAATTGTTACTCTATTTTCTCAGAACATTATTTGTCACAACCCGAAACTTACAGGAGTTCTGGAAATTGTTTTCTCTTCGATGATAACGGACATAAGTTGTATTCTTATGACAAATAGGTAAACAGCTTTATTTTACGATACAAATACCATGTCACTTTTGACATACAGAAGAAGAATAATCCGGGAACGCTGTGATGGTAAAAAACGTCTTTAACTATTGTAACAGCAGTCAGTTTTGGACACATGTATAAGGCATAGCTATATCAAACGAAGATAGTAATCCGCGTGTAGATGTTTGTCAAGCCTCCTATTGAGGATATTCACTGAAGGAGCTGTAGCCACTTTTTCTGAGAGTGTTTCAGGAGGAAAAGCGGGGCCCTACATGAGAGTTAAGCGGTTATAATGCACTTTTTCGAGGGTTACTTGGAGAACAACGATAGGATGCTTGCTCTGGAGTGGAGTGCCCAATAATGAATATGTCAACATTATATCACCTCTTATTCGCCATTAAGCCAGAGAGTATAGTCGTATATGCTGAAGTCTAACTTCGTGAGATTTACACTTCAACCCACTTCGTTGCTCGTCAGACTAAAACATTTATGAACATTTAATGGCGTGTCTAGTCGATCTGACTAATACATGCCCATCACAGAGATTATGACATAATCCATACGAAAGAATACATTTTCTGGCGATTTCGTGGTATCGAGAGAATATCGAAATCGTGCCAGAAAAGAGGGGTGAAATTGCAGAGACGTAACAGTCAAAATGGCAACAACACAGACCGAAAGTTTACGCTAACAGCGGTAGTCATTAACAAAGAGGTTCAGTAAAACACTGACACTACAATCGGTTATAATAATGAGTGTTTCTTTTCGTGTTCTTTTCATAAAAGCGTATTCACTAAAACCTTATAAAAGTAAATATAACAAAATGGGGGTCGGGTACTGCTTAGGTTTTAGAGAGAGTTGGTTCGAAAAACTATGTCCCTATTTAGAGAGGTGTTGGCTGCATTTCCTGTGTTAGTGTTCAATCTCTCTGTGGTAAATAGACCAAGAAGGCGCTTTGAGGAGACGTCGGGAGCGGAATTCCCATGAAGGACCCAAGTTACCTGTCTCACAGCGTTTTTTGATATGACAGTGTGACCAGTCGTCGTAATGTTTTTCTGCGACTGAAGCTAATCATTTTCGCTTCCTAGGGACCTGAATATCTATGCATCGTCTACATAGAATAATGCCGCTTGGGTAATTTTGTTATTAAATTTCAGGAAGGGTTCATCTAATACGGTACTATGTGGAACTCTTAATATTGAGGCTCACTTGCTCTCATGCACTCTTCTTACCTTGGTATGTAACTTCGGTCTTCTAGGTAATTTCAGGGCCAAGATAGAAGTGGGTTGGTGAAACTAATCTTCGCAACTTTCTATGTAAGCGGCAGGTGGAAATCTGTGTCGAAACTTTCGCGAAGTCAAGAAATATTACACGGACTGGTACCTTTGATCGCTAATGGTTGTCCAGCTATTCTGTGTTATGGAAAGATTAGATGAGCAGTACATAACTTTTCTAAACTCGTGTTTAGCTGCATAGAGTTGGGTGTTTTTTCCCTCATTTTGTCCTCATTTTTTCAATCGCCAGTCCTTTCATCAATTTCGACAGAATCTACAGTGATGTGACGGGTCTGTAGAAGGCTAATCTATGCTAACTTCACCCGAATTGATGGTTTTCTGTGTCTCTCCACCACTCTCTTATCTACGGGGCATGAAGAAGTTGTCCTTCCATGGCTCCTAGTGTATTTCGTTTGTGACCACGCCTAACATGACTGCAGCACGATTATTACTTCGCTCTGGTAAGTTGGGTCGGCTAATTCCTCTGACCAAGTATTTTATGCCACTCCTATTGACGCTGCAATAGCATGACTGTTTAACCTTGTGTTACCCCGTACTCTGTGGCGTTACTGATTCAAAATTGCTGTTAATGTATATCGCCACTCCCCCTCTTGTTTTGTGTTTCATATCAGAAAATTTTCAGGCCTTGATATATAACTTCGTCGCCCATGATGTCGGCGGATAACCAATGTTCAAATAATGGTAAAGTCTTATGATCCAACTGGAAGTGTGATCTCTCTTTTGATCTCTCCCAGTTTATCCCTTTGTCCTCTTACGTTTCAACAGAGACACTTGGGGATTTGAAACACTACATGGGTTTCTCTGTAACAGCATCTATCTTCGGGCTTATAAACAAGTTCATTTTGTAGTGCCTCCACATATATTACATTTAATTTGGTTAAGCCCTTTCGATTAATTTATTGAACCAAGCCATTTGTATTGCAACAATTTATATGTACCATTCGTTCTTATTATTGTCTGGTTTGTATGAGCTCACATGACGTGTCCCACTTGTCATTTGACCTTGTCAACCATTAGTCGCTTATATTCATCTGTGTGCAAGCCTATCTCGTTGATCACATGTCTCTCTGACTATATATTATTAGTCATGCTCTATCTCTTTGAGTTGGCTCATTAGCCTTCTCCAACGCGCTTCGCCTGTTCATTTGCTTCCTTCGCCCATTCGTTCGCATTGTAATCCAGGGAGTTGGCCCAACAGCCTTCTCCAATTCACGTCGCTTTATTCGTTTTATCCGCTGCTT